TAGTCGATGATAATATCACACTATTCCAAAACAAGCGAATGTTTGTCGCATAATTCCATCAGCGAGTGAGTGGAGTGAGATAAACCTTTAAGTCACATCGGCAGTATTTCAAACATTTGAATTAATAAAAGATTAATAAAACGATAATACACGATCAATAAAAGGACAGTAAAATATATCACAGCTTTAAAATTTATAACCAGCACGTAGCCACAGAACGATATTTCTTTATATGACCCATTATAAAACGTATTATAGATCGCCAGAATCTGACGGCCATGGTGACAATCGGATGGTAACCAGTTTCACTATTTGCCCTGATGAGAATGAATGAACTGTCACTAAGAAAGCAATCCATCCACACTATCATTAGTTGAATAGAATGAGCACGTATTAGGATGCTGATATGGGACATCACCTTGGGCATTGACATAGAGCAATGTGTACTAATGCATAACAATTCGTGGTGCGTCTATATAAAAAAGAAGAAAAAAAGAAAATTTGTTTATTATAGTGTGTCACACCCCTGGTACAGAGTCCGCCTCTTTAGGCCTATAAGACACAATAAAACAAGGATAAAAGCATGATAATATTAAAAATGGTACGCATCTAGTGAACACAAATCTAAGTTTATAAGCAAACTGACTGACTGACTGACTGAGTTTGGTTTTACGCCGCTTTTTAGCAATATTCCAGCAACATCACGGCGGGGACGCCGGAAATGAGCTTCACACATTGTACCCATGTGGGGATTCGAACCCGGGTCTTCGGCGTGACGAGCCAATGCTTTAACCACTAGGGCTACCCCACCGAATGATCGGACAACACTTAGCAATGTCTTTTTTTCCTACAGCCCTTCGTACTTTAATTTATAACATCGGATAGGAATTTAACAGTCTACATTCCTGTGTCATTTTATAGCCGTAGGTTGATCCGGCGCAATTCAAGCCCATTCTTCAATTTCCAGGCCCTCAGCACCCAGGAGTTAAGTATCCTTCCAACGTAAGGTTTTAATTTGGTTGTTGTTTAACGCCGCACTCGGCAACATTCTAACTATATGACTGTGATCTGTCAATAATTGAGTCTGAACCAGACAATCCAGTGATCAACAGCATGAGCATCGTTTTACACAAATTGGATACGATGATGTGTGTCAAAAACAAGTCAGCGAGCCTAACCATCCGATCCCGTTAGTTTCCTCTTTGGACAAGCATGAATTGCTGAAGATCAGTAGCTATGACCTTGATCTTCACGGCTTCCAAAGCAAGGTTGACCAAAGGTAGCTTTGTTCAACTGACGTAGTTTTTCTTAAAGGTCACCTGAGTCACTAAGTGAGTGAGTTAATATTTAGCGTCACATCTGCAATATTTCAGCCATATCATGACGAGAACAATTTAATTTATATCAATATGAAAATAAATAAACCTAGAACGTAAACGCCTGTCATCGAAGGACAGTAAAAATACTAGAGTATCACAGATATATATTTAAAACTAGTGCACTATCATAACATTGGATCACTATAGAGAGTACAAAACCAAAACGGGCTATCGATCACCTACAACTGAAGGTAGATCATTATACTAGGGTTGAGTCACTAAAGCTCGACCTCAGTAAAGGTTGCTTCGTACAACGGCATTCAGGTGTTTACGGAAACACATTTGCATAAAACATGTAACCGTTGTCAGCCAAACTAAACAATCAGGTGATTGGTTATAAATTCAGTCACACGACTGCTGTGCTAAAACTATAAACACGATATATGTTTTATATTGATATGTGATTTATATCTGCCATGTAAAATAGCAAGCAGTGTGAAACAAATCAGACGAAGTGATACCAAAACAATGCAGTAATTTAATATGTACGATAAAGTGGAGCATATACAACTGACCAAAATATGTTTCTTATGAAAAATACAATCAATTTTAATAATAATGTGATGGTAATACGAAATACAGATAGCTGTTAGGTGTGGTATATCATTGTCAATACACTGGTTTTATAAGATATTGTTTGATGAGATCCTGGTACGGTTTCTAAAGGTGGTCGTGTTTTTGTTGATCCTTCACTCTGACTCTTTATCTGGAGTTTGGTTTGCAGGACGCCAGTCAGCATCAGGTCTCTCAAGGCAATCTTTATACTCTGTGGAAGGAAACATATTACTAAATTCTTCATCGGCATTGATGTATTGACTAGTCTTGGGGAGAACATTACTCACTAAATTACTTTCACATTCTTTATCCAGAATGGTGGACTGAGTACCCGATAATCATTGTGACCCCATCGGTATTTTACCTGTGCTGCGTCGAATGCAAAAAGCAATGTTTGGGCTGAATATGAAAAATTGACTCCACTGTGAAAGTGAATGATCGAGTATGAATTTACCATGCCTTCAGCAATATTCAAGCAACATCACGGTGTTGTACACCACGTATGGGATGAATGAATGAGTTAAAATGTCACGTAGCATCGACCATATTTCAGCCATGTAGAGAACAACCAGAAATGGGGACTCACACAATGTATACATACGGGTTTTGAACCCAGATCTTTGGCGTGACGAGTAAGGCCAACCACAAACTACTGAATACCCATTAGGCTACCGCCCCGTACCGTCCAAACGCACCCGTAGGGCCCAACTCAACCCTCACAGAAAAAAAGCAAACTTTGGTGGATAATGAGGACTGGTCATTTTCGTTCGTTGGTGCCTTATAGTCCAAAGACTTTATAATTCGTATGGACCGACTCCGTGGTGTAGTGGAGTTAGAGTGTCCGCCCGGAGAGCGGAAGGTCGCGGGTTCGATCCCCGACCGCGTCATACCAAAAGACGTTGAAATATGGTACTTTGTTGGTCCCTGCCTGGCGCTCGGCATTAATGGGTACAACACGGACTGGTCGGCTTGGAGTCAGTATAATGTGTCTGAGTGGGGTATTCATGCTTCACTGCGGCATGGTATCTCAGTGGGCTAGCACTATAAAACCAGCTTCAGTCTGGGCTAGTACAAGCAGCCGCACTTACACATACACACGCATGCACGTCGTCATATGAACGAAATATTCTCAAGCACGACGTTAAACCCAATTTCACCTCACCTTATAATTCGTATGCCACGCCCAGTATTATAGCTAACACCATATCAATACATCGTATCTAGAAGAAGTATGAACTGTGAAATATGGAGAAGCGTACTTACCTTCTTTAGGGAATTGGTCGCCATGTGCTTCCTGACAGTCATGACCATATAGACGGGTATCGGTAGAAGAGGCAGCACTGCAATGATCCAGCCGATTGTAGAGGCGTAGCTAGGATACACGTACGTGCCGTAGGTTGGTGGTTGGTAGCGAAGAAGTGTGAAGATGAAAGCAGTCTGAACGTAGGACGTTGATATTAAGAGGCGACATGAAAAGAAAGAGGTCTCTATGTTATACAGTCAGTTTGACTTCATTTGAGACCGATGAATTGCTCACTAACACAAAATCTAATAAATGCAACAAAATCAAACTTTGCACAGTCACGTGAAATCGACAGACCAACTCTGATGATTTGTCTCATAAATCTGGACACGCGAATACAAAGTTGTTTATAAACGAATGAACAAGCGTGAGCAGTGAAATTTCAGTTTCACACGTACACCTTGCACACCTGGTTGTTATACCAGCAAGTGGTCCTCACTCGTAAGAAAAAGCGAAAAGTGGCAACAAAATAATGATAGTTTTTAAACAAACGGACTATAGTTATTCATTAACGTATGCACACGTTAATGGGAACGTAAAATTATTATAGGATACTTTACATAGCGCACATATCCATCCAACTAGTGCTTGCTCAAGGCGCTGATATTTTTTCCCTCGATCATTGGATGTCAATCTCAATGGCACATCGTATTATCAATCTGAACCCCCTGGGGAGTATACAACTCTTGCAGCCACTAGGCACACCGAGTTATTGTGACTTTCTCATCCTAACGAGGTACCCATTCACAGCTGGGTGGACTGGGACACATAGTCACAGTATTTTGTCGAAGTTCACTGCACGTTGCTGTACCCGCAACAAGGTGTTTGCACGTATTCATGTGGCCACCATCTGGTCATCTACCAACGGATTTGTGTTTTTTTTAAGTGCACAGGGTTGTGTACTGTACACATGCTTCTCGTTTCTTTTGAAACTGGTAACGGATTTGTCACTTACATATAGTTAGATGCAGTTGTACACTGTAGTAATCAGCACTGACGTATTTCAAGATGTTTCTCTAATGTTTGTTTGTTGAAAGATCCCAACTGCGGGTTCCACCATTGTTGATGAGAACTATTGGAAGAATTCCTATTATAATTGATAACATTCATTGACCAGTAATGGAAAGATTGTTTATGGATAAGTGCTGGATTCTGTTATGATTCAACCATTCGGACTAGGTCTGAATATCTGGGATACTCTGGTGTCTTATTGATTCATCAGGACAAGTGAATTATTTTCGATCTGACATGTAGGTAGCTCTTTTATTCTGTCAGGTACTAAGTTTCACCTGAAGCCACTCTAGTTGTGCACCTTAGGGTCTCTTGGGTATTCAAAGAATTTAAGAGGTGTAGAGCTGGTGAAGTTTCTTTTTCTTTTTACTTTTTTTTTTGGGAGAGGGATTTTCTCCTTATAAAGGTGAATATTGTGGGATGTATTTCCATTGAAGTGGACAGATATTAGAATTGGTGCTGGGGCCAAGTTTAGTGTTGGCTGGGCAAACATGCTGATTGGAGAGAGGTGAAATGATTTTGTCGACCAGCTTTGGAAACCCATGGTGTTACTTTCTACACCTCGTATACTAAAGGTGTATGGCAATGAGATGAGAAATATCATGTGGAGCGTCATGAACAGTATGCAGTGTATTCATACCTCGATAACACTATTTAACTGTACTTACCATTAGAACTGCCGGTGTTACGAATGCCCAGAGGATCTTTACAGGCATCGCCAATTGCTTTCCAAACATCATCTCAGCGTCGCTACTGATCCGTCGTATACCTGGCACAAACGTATGCTCACTTTGATATGGTGGCTGAAAGGGCCATCGCTTTCTAGCCTTAAAATTCGGCCGCGAGAAAGCGATTGCCCTTTTCAGCCACCTGTTGATGATTCAGGAGCTCAGCTGTGTGATTTAATAATTTGTTTCATGTGTTCGATTTATATCGTTGCACTCAGTAATAGTTTAGCTTATTAGGGTGTCATATAAATACAATCCAATCTGGACGTGACAACCCAGTGACTGATATTAGGAATGCCCATTATGATACACTGACACTCCACAGTCACTAAGGTAACCACAAAAAACCACTATGTCGCCTTCTACGACCGGCCTAGTTTACCTTGGACCCTTACCGGGATACCCACTGGGCTTGCAATTCCAGATTGGAGAATTTAACCCATTCTACGCCACAGGCTCGATAATCGGTCACAATGTGATGAGTTCCCTGACAATGGAAGTCGGATAACCGGCCAGGCAGTAGTCACGTCAACATGAACCTACCCCCGCACCTGATCCATTTATTAAATTAATATCACTTTTCACAATGTCTGAAAACACGACAAATTTCACAATGTTATTATAAACAATTATCGGACATGGGCATCGGCAACAGGTCCACATTTAAATTTTCAAAGAGGAAAATAACGATGTTTCGAGACAATCATGATATCTTATGAATAAAATCACCAAAAGTACTCATTTCCATATTTTAGTGCGATCTTGTAAGTCGTCACCTCGATCTTCACGCTGGTACACTATGTTTAATGCGACAATATATGCATGAGACGTTTTTCATGCTCAGAATAACACAATTTTACATAAACACGTTCGTGTGAACCTGAAAATTTCGCAGCCTTAGGTCACGTGCACGATATTGTCCCATCACGATGTTTATAAAATAGAAAGCGTAATTAGAAACCATTCTTGATCCAATTAAGTCCCTCCTTACAACTTTGCAAATACTCCTGGCAAGATTATGGTGATATTATTGATGTTCAGAGCTTTCAAACTATGTTCTCGGGTGTTATTCATGATTCGAACATGGAGGTAGTTCCCGGTGTTACGTCATGTCACCAAACGGAGGCAACTGTTACCATAGATATTATCTGAAAATATTTTGTATAATTTTGAAATGTACAAGACATACGGAGGAGTATAATATATTTACAAATGGAAAAAACATGCCCCAGTTTATCTGGATATTATTCACGTGTTAGCTTCAATTTTATTAAAAATATAACAGGAAGACAAAAGTCATCAATATTCCCCACAACGGCAAAACACTCTTTATGAATATGTCGACTACTTATGATTATGTCAAATGGTTTATATAGTGTATATAGCAAAGTGGAAGGAGAATATTGAAAGGTTTTAAGACCTGATCCAGAAAGGAGCACTACCACCAAGACCGCCTCCGTGGTGTAGTGGTTATCTAGAGCGTCCGCCTGAGAGCGGAAGGTCGCGGGCTCGATCCCCGACCGCGTCATACCAAAAGACGTTAAAATATGGTACTTGTTGGTCCCCGCCTTGCGCTCGGCATTTAGGAGATAAACATCATGTGTTTGGCCAATTTCCGGGTCTTATTGAGTATTTGAAGCACGGGAATTCATTTGGAACTGATGTCTCCCATGGTAGCATCTGAACTGCTCATTTGTGACGTCATTCAGACTTTACGTCACAATATAATTTGAATGACGTCATCACAGCTGACGACGTAACAATACAATGGTGTGAGCGATGTTTGCACGTATTAATACGCAGCAAAGCACGACGTCACCATACTAAGGACCAAGGAGACTCTTGAGTTAATGAAAGAAAACGTCAGAATTATCTTTACATGCCGATATATGCTTCAGGGTTTGTATGCAAATATTGTATTGTTATACACACCATAGATCCATGCCACAGCAGCACACTCCAGTATACAGATCACTATTGGTCCGAGGGAGAATACATACCAGTCTACCAGCTGAAACATGTACGGACCTCCCTGCAGTACAAAGCAAGTGTATATTATTTTGTGAAGAATATCAATGAAGGGCCACACAGCAGTTGTTTGAAGGTCACTTTCCTGCCAGACAAGAAAATCTATTTGGGAAGCTACTACTACTACTATTACTGACCCGTGAAGATACGGGTACAAGATGTTCATCCTGTTTAAGCCTTCACATAACTGGTCAGTTGAATTACGATCTAGTGATCGTGGTGGCCATGTGAGTATTTTATGTATTATTAAAAAGATATGACAGTTTATGCCATGAATGTTCCCAGAAAACAACGCAGACATTCCATGGATGATTGCAAATTTGTGACCTTTGTCAGTAATTACACGAGCACTGTATTCTCATGCAGCTGTGCAACTTGGAATATATTTGGAAAATATTGTGGTCATCTATGCCTGTTATATATTGGAGAGATTGCATCTTGACAATACTGTGTACCTGTGTGCAGAATACGATTCCAAGAAGAAATGCTATGATGCAGTATCCTCCAGTTACGAGGATCCTTCTCTTGCCCAACTGCTGAGGATACTGATCAACAAGGGCAGTAACAACGACTTCAACACCCATGAACTGAAAAAACAATATCAGTTCATTGTACATCTTGCTAATTACAATGACATTTTTTCCATCAGTCTAAAAGCTTTGATTATACTCTGGAATTTTGTTTCACTGTTGGTTATGAAATGTTGGTTTGTAAGTCATCAGACCTTTATTATTATTCAGTATTAAACACGTCCATGGGCACATGAAGACAGTACCTGTGAATCCAGACCAACTGTCAGCAACATCAGAAAGAACAGGAAGGACCACAGCTGAGGGAGAGGAAGGTGTGCCAGGGTTTCTGGATAGGTAACAAATCCCAAACCTGGACCTTTAATTGAAAAATCTATGTAAGTCCCCTCTAGAAAATATCACACAAATCTCTATGATAGCATGGAGAAGAACAGACGATTTTGACTGAATCTACATTTCACCAATATTAATTAATCTGTAGCTCACGTTGACTGTAAGTCCAACTGATGAGACTTATAACGGTGCTATCAACATTAATATTCATGTATAACTGTATGCATATAAACAGTCAGTATTGGACTCAAATAAAACAATGGAGTACCCTTTGAAATTGTTTGCAAAGGTAAGTAAATTATTTTTGTCAATAGAGGAGTCATGGTGCACCGAAAAGTGAAAGGGAGAAAAGCTGTAGTATAAGCGGCAAAACCCTTCGCATAATAAGAAAAATAGTTCTGTAAGCAAAGTCGATTATGCCATTCCAACTACATCATGCCTATTTGCTTGTCAATCACCATTAACTTAGTAACGATAGTAGGTAAGCGTATCATGACCCTTTGGGAGCATCCATCAGGGTCACATCATTCAAAAGCCAAAACAAAACAAAACGAAAAACCGAGAACATGTGGTAGACGTCAAAATGGGGACATATGTTTTAAAACGCTGGTACGTCCTCCACACGTCACCCATATTTCTTTTCCTGAAAGGTAAAATCAGGCTAGGATAAAGGCAATAGCAATCCAAGAGCAACTTCTACCTACACTTCCTAATACCTACCACTTGAAACAACGGATTCAATGGGAACACCCGTTTTCTGTGACATGACCCCGAGGGTAGCAAACGTCACCAGGCCAGAGAAGATACTGGTTCCTTCTGAGGACTATTGTCACTAAGAGGCAGTCTCTGTGAATATAAGCATTCATATCTCCAAATGTTCAAGCTTATTATTACATATCTACTTATGGTGTTGCGGATAATTTGTTGCCTTTATTGCCTACGAGAAGTTCTTAATTCATAGATCAATTCTAGAGAGAGTTATGTTTTAAAATGATTTGAAAAGTAGTAATTCGGAAAACTCAGGTGACTACTGTCAGTTGTGTTATGTTGTTTTTAATAACGAGACATCGACTTTATGCTCGTATCTACTTTGTTGTGCAACTGCAAAGGTATGATTGCTACTCACCTGAGACATGGGTCATGGAATTTGTTATAGCTCGCAGCCGTACCAATCATCCCAAAGCCTGGTCCCAATGAATAGAACACTTGCAAACATGCTTCCAGCCACACCTGTATCAAAAATATTTGCTAAATGTTATTCTGCAAATGAGTGAGTGAGTGAGTTAAAATTTATCGTCACATCGGCAATATTTCAGCCATATCGTGACGAGAACAATTCATTTTATGCATAGTAATTAATGGTAAATTGTAAAAACCTGTCAACGAAGGACAGTAAAAAGAACTAGATTATCACAGATTCGATGTAAGTTATTGATACCTACTTGGGTGTCTCAATTCTTTTGCATCAGATCACGGATGTAAGTTCTAATTCGAGCTTTGTAATCAGAGTACGGAATAAGAAGTGGTGTCACAGATTTGTTGAGTGCTGCCTTGGCAGCAAAATCGGCCATTGTGTTCCCGGAAATGCCAACGTGGCTGGGTAACCAACAGAAGACGATGTCGTATTGGCCAGTAGCAAGATCATTATATAATTCAATAATTTCGATTAAAAGTGGATGTTTGCAAGAAAGATTTTGATAGCCTGAAGGCAAGAAAGAGAATCGGAAAAGATTATGTATTGTTTATATTTAGGGTGTTTATTAATATATTTTAAGGCTGTTAATATTGCGTTAGCTTCTGCTGTGAAAATAGAGCTGTTATCAGGTAATCTAGAAGATATTGTTTTGGAGCCAATGACAGTGGCACAAGCTACTGCGCCACCATCCTTGGACCCATCTGTAAATAAGGATTTGTATGTATTATATTTAGTTCTTAACTGACTAAATTCTTGTTTATAATGCAATTCATTAGTTTCTGACTTTTTTTTGAATGTGGTTAATGTTAGGTCAACGTGTGGCCTAACCAATTGCCAAGGAGGAGAAGAACCAAAGGAATGAGAGATATTTTTCTAGCTCAATGCCAGCAGCAGAATATTTTTATTGTATAGATCCTCATAAAGAGGATTAAAAACACAGTTTAATGCAGGATTTGACTCATTAGAATATAGTTTTGCTACATACTGAAAGGATAATTTTATACAGCATGTGTAAGAGATGGTTCTTCAGCCTCGACGTAGAGACTGTCAACAGGAGGGTTTCTAAAGGACCCAAGACAAAGTCTTAGACCTTGGTGGTGGACAGAATCTAATAGTCATCCCCCGCCACTCGTTTAGCGTGAAGCGGGGGTTATACAGTACAAACCGGAAATTATTGAGAATTTAAATATTGTAATTTTATATATTTTTTTTCACTTATTACTCACGTATTAAATGTGAATATTAGCAGAACATAACTCCAGATTCAAAGACAGGTGAACAGTTAGTATCAAGTCACCATGGGCAGCAATGCAGGCTTCAATGCGGCGGATCAAAGAAGTTAGAAAGTCGTGGTCCATGCTGTCCCAATATCGGACCACTTCTTCTTTCTTTTCAGCAATATTTGTCAGATTTTTCTTATTGACACTTTCCTTCATAAGTCCCAAAACATTTTCTACATTTTCTATTAAGGCCAGGGCTATAGCATGGCCAATCTAATAATGTCATATTGTGGGTCCGAAACCAGGCCTGGGAATGTTTTGAACGATGGTTTGGGTCGTTGCCCTTTTGGAAAATCCCAAAAACACGTGAGCAGATGGAAGTAAATGTGTACTGCTCACTGTTCATATTCCCTTCGGACTATACTTTGGGCGCTGATACAAAGGTTTTTCAGTTTGTTTTGGTCCAGAATTTCAGTGTATTAGGAAACAGCCACACAGAACTTTCATCTGAGAAAATCACATTGTCTCAGTTACAATTTCTATGCTGTAAGCACTAGTTCAACCTTCGCTCCTTTTGTTCAGGTTTCATGATCGGTGATGGAATTCGTCGACTTTTGGTGCCAACCCATTGCATGCAGTTCAGTTCTAATTGTCTCCTTACAGACAGCCACAGCTCCTCTATCAATCATAACCAGCCTTAAGTTTTGCAAACTCCTTCGTTTGTGTTTAGAAACAAGAATACCAAGCCGCCTCCTGTCACCGAAAGACAATTTTCTAGGCCTACCTGCGCCTCCCTGGTGCTCAATGCCATATCCATTTGCAATATTTTTCAAAACACGATAAACAGTGGACAAAGGGATGCCTGTTCTACTTGAAATCACTTTAGCTGATCTGATGTCCTTGTTATAATACTCTAAAATCAACTTCTTCTTCTCTAAATCATCCATACTGAGGATCACTGAAACTGTCGTCTGCTAGCAAGTAAACACAGGGGATAACTTTTCACAAACTAATGCAAAATGATTAACTGAGTTGTCTCTCTGTATGAAACCAAGCACCTGATAGCTGGTCAAGGTTGTTTATACTAGAAATCCAATTAAACATATTCCTAAAATTCTCAATAATTTCTGGTCATATTATAGTATTAGGCTCCGGTCCGTACGTACGTACGAATTGGAATATCTTAAGAACCATTGACTGGATTCTGTTCATACTTGGTACCTAGGTTCATCAGAGTATAAGAAAGGTACCAGTAAGGTTTGGTGACCTTGACCTTCATTTCAAAGGTCACCAGGGGACTTTACGCTTGTCAGCGAGATATCCCAAGAACCGTCCACTGGATTTTCTTCATATTTGACACCAAGCTTTGCATAGGAAATGCGCAGGGCCCAGTTGATTTGGGTGACCTTCGCTGAATTTTCAAGGTCACAGCGACACTTTGAAGATTTCAGTATGTTAAGATTGTCAGCAAGATATCTCAAGAAGGGTTCACTGGATTTTCTTCATAGATTTAAGACTTCTCTTGAATGTTTTTGATAACCAATTTCTCTATTACTATTTTTGGCATATTTCATATGTCAAGGTCAAAGTGAGTCTTGAAAATATTTGTGTGTTTGAACAGCTACAGAGCAGAGCAAAATATCAAGAGAGGTTGACTGGTCATGTTTTGTTGACATTTAAATTCATCTTAAACTACAACCTTCACTTTCATTACTCTTTAAGTTTGCGGCGGGGGATTATGTCACCTTAGTGACAACTGCTTGTTTTAGGTTGCTTTTGCAGGCTCCACCATAAACGATGGAACCATAATCAAGTTTGGTTCTGCAAATCATATATGTGCGACTCTCTGCTAGAAATTTGGGTTGGTATTTGATGTAGATATTTATAATTGACATTGAAGACTTGTGTTAATGCGCTGGACATCAAGTATACTTATGGTTAAACACATGCATAATGTTCAGCAAAAAATGAGATTTTATATCAATGAAGACAGTGATGATAGGTCTGGCAGGAATAATAATCACAATGCAAAATGTTCGTCTTGTGAGGTCAGAGGCAAGCGTTAACCCCTCTTGTATACCTAGAAGAAACATGCTAGAAGGTTCTTCACTAAGGCAGATGATTCCGGAATATGCTCCCTGTAGCACTGGTCGCTCGGAGTCACTGGAAATACCTACAAGCCAGTCCGGTAAATCTGCGCAGCTGCAATAGCGTACTTCCGTATCGAAGGTAAAAACGTCTGCTACCACATTTACGCTTGAAATCGGGAAATTTCTACAAGGGACTGGCTTTTAATCACTAAAGGTAAGTAAATAATAGTAATCGACAGATAAATTGACAGTTTTATGAAAATTCGTTTTCTTCAGACTTTTAAACCTTTTCTTCGTTATTCATAACTGGATTTAATATGAAACACTCTTCTTTACATTGATGAAGTGATTTTTTGAAAATAATCTGGCCCTAATACGCTTCCATACTTCGGATCTCCAGCTGGATGTTATGCGCATCAGTTGCTGCGCATAATTACCGGACAGCAAGCGATGTCGTCAGAACGCCGGTAAGGTCAACCGTGTGGCATAATGCAACGTTAGAATCTTATAGTCGTAAACCACAAAAATAAGTTTTAAAACGAAAACTACTGAAACTAACAATATCCTTTATAGATGGCGATTTGACAAACTGATCCCTTGTGATGAAAATCTCAGTACAGTCAAGCACTTTTAAGTTCCTGCTTGACTGTTATCGTTTAATTATTGTTTTGTTAAAACAATTGGCTTGACTGATAAATATCGATGTACAAAACATGGTATATAAAATAAATAGTATATGATATATGGGATAGTTCATGGAATGGATACACTTCATGAAAATACCTGTATATCAAGCAGTTTGTTGAAGTCCGGTACAACGTAGAAGTGTAAACCATCTATCGCACCAGGTTGCAAGAGTGTTGGGATGAAGATGGAGACAAGGAGAATGTACGGAAGAAGTGCAGTTACATACACAGCCTGTAGTCAAGAAAATATATTGTTGCATGATTACATGTAATGACGACCATGTAACGTAAAGTAAGATGGTTTGTCACTATGTAATAAGCTGTGTCAAAATTACAAATATTTATACACGGAACTGTTGTAATTAGAGCAGCATTTCCATGATAAACAATCTGCTAACATCAGTTGTTCATTGCTTTTGGTAATATCATCAAAATTTCGACGAGAGCTTCACTTAGCCTTTTGAAGCTCTTTGAAAGTTTCTGTTGATAAAACATGCTCTTGTTTACTTGTTAACTGGTAGGAATGACATGCTGGACTATTGTTCATCACAAACTGAAGGGGTAACTACAATGTGTTGAACGAGATTCCATGTAAACATTCCGTAATTATAGTTGTTTTGCTTACTTCTGATATATGCAAGAGCATTCCCACTATTTTAATTAGCAAGATTGCAGACAATTGAGGCACGCCATGAGAAAAAAACTAACTTGTTATTTCCAAGAATTACTTCAATTTGTCACTGAAGACTTATGGGGTGTTGGGGTGCTTGGCTTTTTCTCCGAGTGCATATTAGCATTCATGTGTAGTACTTAGCTTGATAATTACCTTACCAGAAGACTTGATTCCACGAATTAGACATAGAAACAATATTACATATGAACCAAACAGACATCCAACTATTTGCCACTGTACAGATCCCACATCTTCAAGCCAGTAGAGACACGCAGTACATTGTACCTGGAAGTTAAATAGTGAGTGAGATTTAGTTTCAAAACCCTGACAGATGTCAGGTAACATGCGACCGATATTCATAGATTGTTACGTAGTCCAATGTTACGTTCTTGTGACTTTGTTAAAAATATATATGGATATTCCTCTTCAAGTGAGACGAGTGTCTAATCTTACTGCCAAAACTCCTCTGCTGGTGTATATGAGCCAGAGTCACATTTTCCCAGAGTTTCGCTGTATTGAGTGGTTATGTTTGAAGTATTCCCAGCCAAGGTTGTCATGTTACTGCGAAACGTTGTATTCATGTCGTCAATACACAGGTCGGTGTTCCAGCTGTTGCCACAAGTTGTCCAGGGCAGGACGCTGGAGCAGGACTTTACCATGTAGTAGATGGGCCAGGCCAAATACAGGTTGTAATAGGGCATGAAGGAGCATGCAACTACGACTGCACCAACCCCAATCCCTGATTGATAAAACAAAATGCACATATATACTTTTATCCTGGTGTCACATAAACCGATAGTAACGTTAACGTTTGTCAGTTGAGTTCATGTCACTAAAGACACAAACATACCCATATTGAACAAAGTGCGTTGCTGTGAATAAATCTGCTTGTGAGCGTGCACTAAAACAGGAGTAGGCATTAAGGTGCTCTTGGAGCAGCCTCCACAGTTAACAATAGCATGAACGTTTTTATTTTACGGGGACTTGCCATCTCTATTAGATGTAACGCGTATGCCATCTCTTGCATTCACAACAGCAAGGAAAACTTGTCTCATTGACTTCCCTGTCACCCTTGAACACAGCATTACCAACATGGTGGCTTTGAACATTCTGGGGTTGACGTCTCAAGACACGAAGATTTCTTCGTACGTGCTCGATGGGATCGAAGTCAGGTAAAGTTGACGGCCACTTCATGACGTCAATACCGAACTTTGCAGGAAACTTAGCCATCTGCACGTGTAAGCGTAACCAGCATAGACGTTCATTATGGTTCAGCTGTGCCAGAATCGACCCAACATAAGGACGTCGAGCACAAAGATGGACGTTTTCTCATGGTCTGGGCTGTTACCTGACCCTTAAACAGCGTGTTACTCGATGACATTGCGGATTTGATTGTTCAAAATGTGACGTCTTTACCTGGCGCTATCCCACCATTTGATGAACACGTGTCCTCAGGTTGTGAATTTCCTGTATCTCATGGCAGCAGCCACAGTAAAGAGGCCAGCCTCGAGGATTCTAGTGTGTGAGTGAGTGAGATAAGATTTTAAGTCACATCGGCAAGATTTCAGTCATATGGGGACTAAAAACAAGTTTAAAATACGCCATAAATACATGTTTAATAATTAAAAGCCTGTCAACGAAGAACAGTAAAACAGCTAGATCATCAAAATTATGATTATAAAACTAGTATGCAAATTTAAAATATTTTAACATCGGAAGACATTACAATATAAGAAACAGGCTATAGATTGCCAACAGCTGAATGTAGATCATCATACTGAGGACCATGGGGACTGGCAGTGCATGGACCCAAGCTGTATTTACACCATCCCTTCGGCTTTCAGCAAGTTTAGACAATTTAGCCATGAATTAAAAATAATATTTATTCTACGGTTAAAAATGGTATGTTTGAATTGACTTTGAATGTTTTGGGACGTACGTACCCCCACAGGAGGACCTCGATCATTCTTCCTGAACGTTCACATTCAACATTTGTTAGGCATGGCATAAGAAGTGTTTATCTTTCAACGATTGTTAACGTGTGTTTGTAGTTTCAAATTGTACCTGAGGTAGTCTAGTTATCGACACTTTCCACTGACGACAAGCTTGTCAGTCAACCTATGTTTAGCATTTACATTCAAATTCTAGTCACATGACTGAAATATTGCTGAGGTGATGTTAAATTTCATCTCATTCACTCACTCACCCTCAGTCGTCTGTAATGTGATGACAGCCTTTTCGATTGATTGGGCCCTATTCTAACACGGAATTTGGAAGACAGAGTTGTGGGTGGTTGTCTGCAAAGTGCGTGTTGTTAGGGTGCTTTGGTGGCATGTGAAACTGAAAATCAGATGACATATGTGATTTGTGAAGGATCCAGGTTCAAATAATCATGGATGTTACCGAAAGCATTGTTATGCTGTTCACGGTGAACTAGGAATGAGAAAATACAGGAATGTAGTCGCTTGATTATTTGTATGTTCAATGTTCTGAATAGCCTGTAAGACAAAATACTATTTATTCACTGACCTTTGAGTAAAGGGCAGAAGCTCCACACTTGTTTGGCACCCTTTCCAGAGAATTGAGATATCATTGATTCTAAGAAGAACGTTGGAAACCCGGTAATGAGCAGTAACGAGATGAATGGGATCAGGAAAGCTCCTGGAGGAAATAGGTACATGAATATTATATATTGATAGGAAAAACAAGAAGCGAGTTAAGGTATTTGTTTCTGATTGAAGTGTCTGAAAGAGAATGCTGGATTTTACCCCACTTTAGGCCTGTTCCAAAATATCATTTTGGGTGGCTTCCCCAACTGATCCTGGGCCTAAGGCCAGTTATATGATGCCTTAAACACTACTACTCCAACACACATGTCAATAGCAGTATCGTACAAGACATCTGAAGATCTTAATGACGCACATACTAATAATAATAATAAAATGCAGATTTCTTCATGCGCCTTTTCCACGTCAGCAGATATGCTCAAGGCGCAACAATGACAGATTAAAAGAGTCTCCCACATTTATACAGCAATATGTACACTTCCAAAATAGAGTTCCTAATAATACATTGAAAACAGGTATGTTTTGAGTCCTGACTTGAATGTGGCAATACTATCAGAAACTTTCAGATTGTATGGGAGTGAATTCCACAAGGTTGGGGCTGCATATGAAAAAGTCCGGTTTCCAAAAGTTTTAAGCTTGAAGTTTGGCACGAACAGAAACTCCTGATTGGATGATCGAAGGCAGCGCTTGTTTGAGTAAGGAGTAAGCAGGTCAGAGATATGGGGGAGCAAGTCCGTGACGGGCCATGTAGGTCAAGCAGAGGATTTTGTAGTCGCTTCTTGCCTTGATGGGGAGCCAGTGCAACTGTTTAAGAACAGGTGTGATGTGGCCATGTTTGGGAATGCGACTGATAATACGTGCGGCCGTGTTCTGCACCTTCTGTAACTTATCCAATAGCCTCTGACTGATCCCAAACAACAAGCTGTTGCAGTAGTCGAGCCTTGAAATCACAAGCGCCCGGACTAAGGCATGGGTGGCTTCAGCTGTAAGATATTGACGGATGTTGCTGATGGAGCGAAGATGGACATAGCAAGTCTTACATGCATGGATGATAGTACAAGGGAACATGGAAACTTACTTGATGGTGTAGGAAATAATCATGGGAACCAGTGTGAACTAAACGGCCTATGATATATAAAGATCAATGATTAAGTGCATTTCCATAGAAGCCGCATGCTAGGAATAGCAAATATACAATAGAATCGAACATACTCCGATATTTACTCCATTGTATTTGATGGATACGATATGAAAGTGAAAGTGGGTGAAATGGTGTTTTAGCATCGTGTCCAGGAGCACTGCACCTTGGCGGTGACATGCAGACACATGTTTGTGCATAAGGAAGCTGGTGGCCGTCCAGATATTGCCAGTTGTCTAGGGCTAGCACACTGAGACACCACAATGCTGCATATAATGGATACGGCAGTTGTATTACATAGCATACTGATTCCCCATCCTGATAGTCTTGGTTTCGTCCCTTAATTCTGTGTATCGACACTTAATTGCATTTACGTTCTTTTTTTTTTTTCTTTTTTTTTTCGGGCGGTGCATTTTACGTTCTTTTGGCAATTTTGGCTAGGTATCGAACAAATGCATGAACACATGTTTCCTGATTTTAAAGTATCGAGATCCAACACAGTCGTTGTAGACACAGCAAATATATGGAAAACTGCATAATCATACAGCTGGTCCAATTTCCACAGTCAAATTCCATGTTTGTTTACAGATACACCCACGTTTTCAGCTGTACAATAGACACTTACATGTTTTGGATACATACAATGACTCTGTGGAATGCTGATAGGTGTGATTTTACCAAGTGGAGTGATTGAGTTTAGTTCTACGCCGCTTTTAGCAATATTCCCGAAAAATATCCCGGCAGGGGAACACCAGAAATGGGCTTCTCACATATTGTACCCATGTGGGAATCAGATCCCGGTCTTCGGCGATGACGAGCGAACGATTTAAACCACTAGGCTGCCCCACCGCCCTATTTTTTACCGAGTAGGCATGGCAGCAATCATGTATATTTTGGTATTACAAGATTGTTTTCAGGTATAGGACAACACATGCATGTTTATTGGATCCAATACCGATACCCCAACATTTACAAGATGACAGCGCATATTATACAGATAACAGAGGTTATGCTTACCTCCACCGTTCCTGTTGCAGATATAGGGGAACCTTAACAGGTTTCCTAATGAAATACTGTGGCCCACCATTGCCAGCATGTAGTCCAGATGTCTGCTCCACGATTCTCTCTGCCGTGTGGCTTCACGTGTATCTCCTTGACAATCTAGCACTGTCATGGAATTCCTACATCACTCATCGCTGCTCTCTGTGTTCGCCATGTTAGCACGGGTTTAAACCCTGAAACGAGGCTTGACATATACAAATATACGTAAATGGATAACACATCCGTCAAGACGACAATTTAAAATACCACTATCACACATCTTTCATATCTCTGTAATTGTGTTCTTATCCCGTCGACTACCACTGCTTTCATGAAATAATATATCTCCTAAAGTGACCATGCTTTAGCTTGTTTTTTAAAATTAATGTGTACGAGAACATGTTTTATATATTATTATAACAGTTCTTTGTCTGTTCCAGGTTGTACTTTTGATGATCAGTCATGTTAACGTGATTGTGAAATCAATCAATGTATTGTCTGTGCGGTTGGAAGTTGATCATCAGACTTCGTAGCAGAACTTGATGGTCGGATTGAATTCACCTATATAACATGTGCGTGGAACCAAATGGTTAATGTCAGCGATGACAAAGTGTGTGTTTTGTTCACAGGTACACAGGTTTCAGGCTGTTCAATATTTGACAGCATTTGGTTTCTTTTCCCAAAACCTGGATAGTCATGCAATGTTCATGCTCTCCTTTCTGGAAAGGGTGCCTATGGCCTTTATATGGAGTTCTTGAGCGGAAAATATTTTAAACTTCAACCGGAACTTTCGCTGGTGTTCTAGTTCCTATAAAATGTTCTTCTGATAAACTAAAAAAAACATTGGTGATGAGTGTGTATTAAAGTTCTTCACATAAGAAAAACAAGGTTTAACCAATACAGCAATCGAGGCTGGAAGACAAGGAAAAAGGCTCAGCATTATATCCTTGATAAATTCAAGATTTCTAAAACCGAAAGTGGCTGAAATATTGCCGATGTGACGTAAACGCTTTGTTAAGATAATGAGTAGGTTCCACAGTTTCTGCTGTATTTGATCGGAAATGGGAGTACCTCCGGTTGGATGTTATCAGTTACTCTTCTTAGTGTTATAATGAACAGCCTTGCAATGGTTTTGAAAGAAAATATGGATGGATCATTGTTTGCTGATGACATTAATATTTCATGACGTGGCACAAAAGATGAACACTAGTGAGAGACAATTATTTGTTTTATAAAAGTGCACACATGGTCACTGGAAAATGAATGTGTATTTTCCAAACCCCAAATGTGTTGCATTCATGTTTATAGTAAATGCAAAATACATCATGGCCCAGTGTTATTCTTAGATAAAACCCAATCTGAGTGGCCAAAGAGACCAAATTTTAGGGAATAACATGTGAACATGTATCCCTCATCATTACAAATCTTAACGTTAATTGTTTAAAAGCTATAAAGGTAACTTCAAATGCTAAATAAACACACTATGCTTTAACTCTACGGAATATTAATTAGATTAAAGCTTGAATTTGGATGTTGTATACATGGTTCCACCGGTTAGTCGTATATTCAAGAGCTTGGCACGATTCACTATAAAGGTCTTGGACTGTGTTCAGGTGAATTTCAACCTTCTTGTTATCCTATTTATCGGTTCCTACATGATAAGAAACCGAGCTTAATTGCTCCACTTCTGTTCGAGTCCGCATTCAGCATCATATAACTGATACAATTTTTGAGTGAGTTTAGTTTTACGCCGCTTTTAGCAATATTCCAGCAATATCACGGCGGGTACACATTCAGAAATGGGCTTCACATCATGTGGGGAATCGAACCCTGGGTCTTGGGCGTGACGAGTGAACGCTTTAACCACTTTCTAGGCTACCCCACCGCCCCTTTATAACTGGTACAAACATAAGGTTATCTGCAATTACTCTGAAGTGCAACCGCACTATGACTGTTAACTGTGATAGGTGGACTGACGGTTTAGTAATCTTCGTTATCATAAACGTTTCCTAAAGATGCGAATAGCTGCAATAGTGGGTAAATGCAACATTTATTCACCCACATTAATACACTTGTTTTATCTGTATGATATGTTTGTTAAAGTGTATTGCTGTCAACTCACTACCATAGTTCCCAGTATGGCATGGGTGCACATACAAATAGAAACACATTTACTACAAAAAGGCTTCATGTGCATATCATCAGCAAGTGTGAATCAGATGCAGTTGGTTTGCCATTGAATACGTTTGCTGTATATCACACTGGTGGGTCTGGGTGACCTCGACTTTCCTCGAGCATCGGAGCATCCGTGTGCCATAACAGGTTCAACAGGTTTTGTTTGAAAAGGACACATTTTATGTATGAACGACTTCATTATTCGGGTGATGCGACGTTGCGATACAAATTCTTGTGTCGTCAACAGAAGCATGAGTGGGTAAGAAACAGGGACACACACAAAAAGGCTTCCATGTTCATATCATCAGCAAGGCTGAATCAGATACATGAAGTTGGGTTGCTATTGAGTATGTTTGTTGTATAACACCGGTGGGTCTGGGTGACCTCGACTCTCCCTCGAGCATCCATGTCATAACAATACAGGTTTTGTTAGTGATTCACCGGCAAAAGCTTTTTATTATAGAAACGAAACTTGAAATATAGTTCAGATCTGCGATGTTGGTTTTATAGCCAAATATGTAAATCAGTCCTTCAGAGCCAGCGTTACCCATTGAGCATTTCTTTGTCGGGTTGATATTAAAGTTGATACGAGATGCAAACGGTGTGTGTGTGTGTGTGTGTGTGTGTGTGTGTAGCATTGAAAGAGATTAATTAATAGTTATGTGATTTGATTTGATTTTCAATTTATGTCAAAGCTTACTAATAATGGATCAAAGAATATAATTTGGTACCATCGGAAAGCTAATCTCAAAAGAGCGAGAATCCGTTGCTCAAACCGTCAAGAATCACAAACATTGGCAGTGGTATCTGAACCGATGCCGTGTTTGTACAGAACCGTGGGTGATATACACTGTAGTAAAGTAAATGTGATACCTTTGAATCGATGCGCTGGGATAATGAGATAACCATGTATCTGCTAGTAAAAAGAAAACGGAAGTTTCTCGCGTGATAAAGTGAGTGGAGTGAGTTGTAGAATTTAACGTCACATCGGCAATATTGCAGCCATACAGTGACGAGAAAAACGTTGGAGATACACAATAAATACAAGTAGTTAAATAATCAATCATTGACGGACTGTAAAATAACCAGAGTATCACAAAAAAAGAGTTAAAACTAGCTAGCATGTATTTCCATGATAAAGATGCCCTCTGCTAGCTCTGCGTCTTGACTACATAGATAAACATTAGGCTGCGTTCTAAACGAAAATGGAATGTATCAACGAGATAACCATGTCTGTGATGGGAGACACTTGCGTAGCAAGTTTCAACCGATTACATAGGGTCTTTTTTTAATCATCATCAAACAGGAAGTTGTACATATATATTTATCATTATTGACCGGAAAAAATCTATCAATTTACAAAACCCGTTAATCATTTTGTTGATTGATGACCTGTCAAAATTGTCCCATTCAGGCAGGTATTCATCTTATGGCTAGATTATCTAAAATCACTAATAGCCGAAGGGATGGTGTAAATCCCGCTAGGGTCCATGCAGGAGGCAAATGTACTGTAAGTCCCTATGGTCCCTAGTATGGTGATCTACCTTCATGCTGTTGGCGATATATAGCCCATTTTTACATTGCACCGTTATACTTAGAAAATAGTGTTTTACGGTTATATCCTAGTTTTAAGTATAATCTGTGATAGACTAGTTATTTTATTGAGAATCTTGCGGAACTTCAGGCCTTTGTCTAGCTTGGAATACAAGTTCGTGACAAGCACCAGAATGCCCAATACTTTTGCTGTGTCAGTCCTTTCCTATTCCTTTTGAGTATTGGATTGAACAAAACGAGATATCCAAAGTCTCGGCCACCTGACCAGAAGGATTATGTCTGATAAACAGAGCCAACCACGCCTGTTTATCTCTTAATCGTTACATATGCCAATCAGCTCGGGTGGTCTGGGTTTGATAAATGGGATGCTCTTCATGATGAAATTTAGTTGTGTACTTTTGAAAATATGTTTTCATCGGATTGTCCTCTGGTGATTGATGCCAAGACTTATGACGAAAGCAAGGAAGTCCACAGCTATTTTAAGTGTGCCAAGGTTATTTGAAAGAATCTGTTATTTGAGGTTGATTTTGTCGATGGTGATGTACTGCTGGATGGTACAGCCATAGGAGTAAAACCAGGTGAAGTTATTCACCAAGTTTGCTCAAGAGTAAGTCATTTGTAGAGAAGCTTTCTGAGAAGCATGAAGTGTGTGGGACAGAATAGCAATCCAACTGACTCCTTCACCTGGATGAAGTCGGTTGGTCTTAAATGAAACTGAGGCTTCCTTTTTGCTGCTCAGGACCAGTCACTTCCTACTAACAAATTGCCTAAATGTCATTCTTGTGTGTAATGAATGTGCAGACAGCATAACATGATGGCATGGCTCCTCAGCTTCTCCTGTCGTCTTCGCCATGTCTGTGGCTTTGACTCCGAGGTCGATCCATGGTACGACCCTGAACAAGTCCAGGGCGTCATGGAAAATGATGTTTTTATACTTTTTGGAATAGACCCATATACAGCATCAGAAGAATTCCAGCCAACAAACCTGATCTTGTCCTTTTTTGAAAAGCTAATGAATTTATTTATGTAATTGAATTTTCTGTCCCTTTGACACAGCAACGTGATTAGCAAGATTCAGGAAAAGCATACTAAAAATGCGGACCTCGCTTTTGAAATGTCTCGCTTGCATCCTAAGTACACTGTCGTCAGAATCCCGATTGTTCTCGGTGCCCTTGTTTAGGTTCGATACCTCCTGGTCTCTTGGCGAAGATCATGAGGGAGCCCTGGGTTCTCCGGGAGCACAGTCGTTCTGACACTCCTGAGTAATCCAGAAGGCTGCTGTGTTGGGGATTCTACATGTTCTCCGG